CATACGTATGTTATCCAACTTCTGGAGCGCCTGTACCCGTGTCTCGTTGGCCATCCACGTGTTGACCGTCAGACTGCGCTTAAACTCCTTCACCACGTTTGAGAACATTTCGGACGCCTTTCCCCCCGTAAAAAATACCCATTAATTAGAAATAAAAAATCGCACCTTGGTAGAAATACGTAAATCTGATTCATGTTTGCGTACCTTTTCCTTATTATCATCGCTGAAAAAGTTTTTTACGTACAGGTGTGACAGGGCTATACTCATCGCGGTTTTCGTGTTTTTCAGGCACATCTCCCACCGCGGGCTCCGGGATTTGGTGCCATAGATGGCGGACTCGAACTCCTCCTTCAGCTTATACCACGAGTCCGATAGAGTGGACAGTTCGGTCTGAACCACGCGCCATAGGATGTAGTTCACTAGGAATCTGACACGCGAAAATATCCACGATCATAATAGTATATTAGATATTTCATGTATATAACATGGCGTACCTGTCATCCAGTTCCACAATCTTGGTGTCCAAGAACTTGATGTAATCGGTGTCGAACAGTATGATGGTCTCATTGGCGGTGATATTTTCGGACACATACTTTTGCACGATTCTCAGCCAGTCAATCTAGCGTATATATATATTTTTAAACATGGTTAATTTTTTTGGCCATGATAAATCTATATATAATACACTCACATTGGGTGCCAATTCGGATAACTGGCCGATAGTGACCTTATTGTAAATGGCGGTCAGATTACGCCGGTTCTCCTTAGCCATCGATTGCTATATATATTAATAAATAACCCAGGATAAATTATCATTAAATATCATCCTAGCAATGAATACATACGTTGGCTAATAGTGTCTCGAAATCTAGAAATTGGTCGACAATACCGCTAACGGAGGCGTCGGGAGCGCCTAATTTTAGCATAGCTTTTGTCATGAGATTTTTGTAGGCCTTCACCGCCGTATCGTTGGCCCCCTTCAGAAGCATATCACGACTGCCCAAACCAAACGACGGGTGATCTATCTATGGGTGCCATTCGTTACACAATTAATACAGATTTTGTGATTATTTTTTGATGAAATACTTACGGATAGTATCCGTACGGAATTGTTCATAAAGTCCGGCGATATGGACAGCGAGAAAAACATGCTGGACACGGCACCCTCATCCCGGAGCTTGAGGTATAGGTCTAGCCAGGTGGTGTTCACCCAGTTATCACCCTCGACGACCGGCCATCCGCCTAACCCTCGCAGTAAGTCTACTAATGGTTTGTCGCCTAATTCTTCCAGAATTGCTATTATAATAGGAAATTGTTACAAATAATTAGTTTTATGTTTTTATTTAAATCTTAATAGCGGCCAAACTGTTGGAAACCATCGACGACTCCATTTCCCCGTGCGATGACTTTTTCCAATACTCATGCGGCAAATGGATTGCAAGCAAACGATTGCC